TTAATGTGTAAGGAAGTGGAAGAAGTGTGTGTCCTGTAGGAGGCAGTAGAAAATGGATGCTCATGTTCTGTACATGCCCTGAAAGTAAGGTTCAGTAAACCAGTGCAACGATACTCCGGTGTAAGGCTCAGTTATTGTATTTTTATTTTTTGAAGATGCAACACTTAACATCTTGATTATTTCGCAGCTTCTCATCAATCATGTGGAGGATCTCCTGGATGTAAGTGTCATTGTAATTTTTTTTCTCTTTTCACTCGTTCATTCACATATTCTGTGCAAATATCTATGATGCTGTCAGCCAGATGTTGTGCAGCCATCATGTGATCATGACCAGTAAAAATCTTCTTTGCTCCGTGTTTAAGTTTCTTGAACCGTCCTTCAGCTGTATATTTAAAAGACTCTTTTCCACAATCTTGCAGACTCATTTCACTTAATAACTCATTTGCATGGCTCCCCCTGTGTTTCAGATTTTCTCTCAGACAGTAGGACACACTGCCTGTGACATTTTTTGGTTTTTGTTCAGAGAAAGACAGTTTTTCTAAAGTTTCACTCCACATCCTCTCAAATTCTTTGTCCAACTCTGCGTCTGTCGTTTGGATGTTTTTTTTCCGACATTCATCAATTAATGCACGCACTGCTTTTTCAATCTTGTTTCTATTATTATTTTTAATTTGAATAATTTCTGTCATTCCTTGTTTGTTTTCTGTTGCTACTTCAAGCTGATACATTACACTATTTTCCATTTCATTACAAAGAATCTTTCCACTATTTAAAAATTCCTCTTTGTATCCTTCAACCAGATACACGTGGCACTCACTTTGCTCGAAATACTGTGTCAGATTGTCCAAAATCTTTGTCTCCCATGCAGACAGCACTGTGGAAACTTCACTTTTTAAAGATCTGAGAAATTCTCTCATGTCAGATGTTTCAGATTTCACTGTGATGGTACCAAAATTGGAAATTGTAGTCTCTGCTTTTCTTACCCAGGTGTACATTTCTTTTCTGAACTCCCACTCCCATTTGTTGAACTCTGTGCAGAGCTTCATGCATGCATCAGCTATGAGGCTGTTTCTGAAGCTGAAGATGAAGTTTTCATGCTTTACTGCATTCCACCCACTCTTTAAACTCCATGATATTATTAGCAGATGACTCACAGTTTCCCAGTAGTTGGATGATGTTTTTCCTGAGCTCATATACAGCCTCACTGTATCCTGCATTAACTGGTGCCATTGGTGGGTTTCCATTCCACAGTCCAGGAATGTACCAGTTCCCAGTGTCTGGACTGTACTCCATCACATCAGTGAAGCTCTTGTTCTCCTCTTTCTTTTCCATTTTGGCTGCTGCCTGAGTCATCTCATTTAAGTGTTCCAGGAGCAGTTTCCTGTCTCGTAAGTTCTTCTGATGGGCTGAAACATCCGACACATTCTGGTGAACAAACTGACATTTAGGCTTTTTGCCCACCTCCTTCATCCTGAGAAAAGCCTGCGCAACTATTTGTCGGATGTTCTTCATTACAGTTAAATTCTCCATTGCAATGTTGACAATGGTGACATCACTCAGTCCCACAACAAGTGTTGCAAGCTCATTGTCGTGCTCATAGCTGTTGTCCAGTTGTGCAAGTTCTGGTGACTTTAAGCCCTCAGTGTCAATGATCAGCATGAAGTCACAGTTTAGGACGTTTTTCATGTCTTCATTGATTTTGATGAGCAACATAAAGGCACCTCGAGTACATCGACCACTGCTCACTGCAAACTGCACTCCAAACATGGTGTTAAGGAGAGTGGACTTTCCTGTGCTCTGAACACCAAGAACTGTAACTACCATTATCTTTCTGTTTGATGACACTGAGTTAATGTCAAGAGAAATCGAGTAGTTGTCAGGGGGCACCGAGTTGATTTCTGAATGCGCAGAGTCATTTTCTGGAGGTGCTGATACATTGTCTTGACAAAGCGAGTCATTGCCTGGAGGCACAGAGTCATTGTTTGATACTGTGTTCATGTAAAGAGAGACCGGGTCATTGTCTGGAGGAGCTGAGTCACTGTTTGAGACTGAGTTAAGGTCAAGAGAGAATGAGTTGTTGTCTGGAGGAGCTGAGT